GAAAAAACCAAAAAAAAAAAAACCAAAACCAAAAAAAAAAAAAACCAAACCGGGAGAGAAAACGGAGCCCAAACCTCAAAAAGGTCCAAGAGCCTTTTTTATTTGCTGTGAAAATCGAGCGGAAAAGAGCCAAGGCCGAGCCCAGGAGCTCCGAGCGCCGGGAACGGAGAGGGGGAGGAGGGAAAAGAGGAGGAGGAAGGGCAGGGGGAGGAGGGAGAGGAGCAGGAGGAGGGAAAAGAGGAGGAGGAAAGGGCAGGGGGAGGAGGGAGGAAAAAGAGAAAGAGGAGAAGGGAAAAAGAGGAGAAAGAGAAGGAGGAAGATATGAAAGAGGGAGGAGGAGGAGGAGGAGAGAGGAGGAGGAGGAAGAAGAGAAAGGAGAGAGAGGAGGAAGAAAGAGGAGGAGGAAAAATAGGAGGAGAAGGAGCAGAAAGGAGAAAGATGAGAGGGGAGAAGGAAAAAGAGGAGGAGAAGGAAGATAAGAGAAAGAGGAGGAGGAGGAAGATAGGGAGGAGGAGGAGGAGAAAGAGAAGAGGAGGAGGAGAGGAGAAGGAGAAAGATAGAGAGGAAGAGGAGGAGGAGGAGGAGGAGGAAGATAAGAGAAAGAGGAGGAGGAGGAGAAAGATGAGAGGAGGAGGAGGAGAAGGAGAAGAGGAGGAGGAGGAATGGGAGAAGGAGAAGTAGAAGGAGAAGGAGAAGGAGAAGGAGACGGAGAAGGAGAAGGAGAAGGAGGAGGAAGAGGAGGAAGAAGAGGAAGAGGAGGAGGAGGAGAAGGAGAAGAAGGAGGAGGAGAAGGAGAAAGAGGAGGAGGTGGAGGAGGAGGAGGAGAAGGAAGATGATGATAATTTCACCTGGTAATGAGAGGAGGAGGAGGAGAAGAGGAGGAGGAGGAGAAAGATAAGAGGAGGAGAAGGAGGAGAGGAGGAGGAGAAAGATGAGAAGAGGAGGAGAAGGAGAAGAGGAGGAGGAGAAAGATGAGAAGGAGAAAGATAAGAGAGAGAGGAGGAGGAGGAGAAAGATGAGAGGAGGAGAAGGAGAAGAGGAGGAGGAGGAGAAAGATAAGAGGAGAAGGAGAAAGATAGAGAGAGAGGAAGAGGAGGAGGAGAAGGAGGAAGATAAGAGAGAGAGGAGGAGGAGGAGAAAGATGAGAGGAGGAGAAGGAGAAGAGGAGGAGGAGGAATGGGAGAAGGAGAAGTAGAAGGAGAAGGAGAAGGAGAAGGAGACGGAGAAGGAGAAGGAGAAGGAGGAGGAAGAGGAGGGAAAGGTGAGGAAAAAGAGGAGGAAGAAGAAAGAGAAGAAGAGAGAGGAGAAAGGAGGAGGAGGAGAAAGAGAAAGAGAAGAGGAGGAGGAGGGGAGGAAGTCTCCCCCCGGCGAGGCCGAAGCAGAGCGAGGGGCTGTGTCACAGCTCTCCAGACGTCTTGATGACGTGGAAGAGGGTGACGTTGTAGATGACCTGGTGCCCGTTGTTCCAGGTGTACAGGACCCTCTCGCGGGGATTGTAGTCCAGCATGGAGATGTGGGAATACTGGTTATGGAAAGGAATATCTGTGTACTCATAGCTGGAAGTGTTTGTGTAGTAAGCAAAGTAGATCTTGGCTCCAGCCAGGTGAGAGTTGGTGACGTAGAGAGTCCCACAAATCATGAAGGATTCTCCGGCACTTCTTTTGGGATAACCCGTGTCCCAACTGCGCAGCACTTCCAGGCTCTGCGGGTCCACGCGGCTCACCACGATGTTCCCGGCGTGCTGGTTACTGGTGTACACTGCCCACAGCCCATTCTCATCCACCATGAAATCGATGTCAGAGAATCCTCCCCAGGAGTAAGGGAAGGTGTTGTTGTAGCCGGCGCCGGAAAGGCTCCGTTGCACCAGGACGCTCCGGGAACGGAAGTGATACTTGACCGCGATGTTGCTCTGGTATTTGTTATAGTACAGGGATCCGTTGTAGACCACGTGGCCTGTCCCAGCCCAAGGGTGAGGCAGGAGGTGTTGGACGAAGTTCTGACCCGTCACGAAGTCGTTGAGGGTTCGGAATTCCAAGACACGACGACCTTTGTAGTATCCGTCCATGTACCACACCTGGGGGCAGAGGGAGGGAAGGGGAGCAGGTGGTGTGGGGGGTGGGCACCAGTAAGGAAGGGGGTTTGGAGGGTCTGCCAGGTGGGTTTAAAGCCCTTGGAGATGGGTTCAAACCACATGAGTTGGAATCAAACCCCTTGAGTTGGGTTCAAACCCCTTGAGTTGGGTTCAAATCTCCTTGAGTTGGGTTCAAACACCCTTGAGATGTGTTCAAACCCCTTGAGATGTGTCCAAA